CGGTGGTACGTCCCACGCGGATCACCTCGGGACCTCGCGGCGCCCTGGGGGCTGCGATCTGCGCAACTGTCGCCACTTTCGTGGGCTCCTGGGAGGCCCAGCGGAGGTGGGTCCAACGCGGATCACTTCGGGAGCTCGCGGTGCCCTGGGGGACTTGCGATGTTCGCAACTGTTGCCGCTTTCGTTGGCTCCTGGGAGGCCCAGCGGAGGTGGGTCCCACGCGCATCATCTCGGGACCTCGCCGCCCCCTGGGGGGCTTGCGATCTGCGCAACTGTCGCCACTTTCGTGGGCTCCTGGGAGGCCCAGCGGAGGTACGTCCCACGTTGACCATTCGGAGGTACGAGGAGGAGGAGGAGGAGGAGGAGGAGGAGGAGGAGGAGGAGGAGGAGGAGGAGGAGGAGGAGGAGGAGAAGCAGCAGCAGGAGGAGGAGGAGGAGGAGGGGGTTCGAGGAGGAGGATCGAGGAGGAGAAGCAGAAGCAGGAATCGTGCTCTCAGGAGATGAGGAGGAGGAGGAGGAGGGGGAGGAGGAGGAAGAGGAAGGAGGAGCGACAGGAGCAGGACCTCAGGAGGAGGAGGAGGAAGGGAGGGAGGAGGTAGGAGGCGGAGGAGGAGGAGGAGGAGGAGGAGGAGAAGCAGAGCAGGAAGCAGGAGGAGAGGGAGGAGGGAGGAGGAGGAGGAGGAGCGGAAGCAGGAGCAGGAGCAGAGCAGGAGGAGGAGTGAGGCGGAGGAGGGGAGGATGAGGAGGAGGAGGAGGAGGAGGAGGGAGCAGGAGCAGGCAGGAGGAGGAAGGGGAGGCGGAAGGAGGAGGAGGAGGGGCAGGAGGAGGAGGAGGAGGAGGAGGAGGAGGAGTGCGCCAAGCAAGCGCGCTCACGCTGCCGCGGCGACGGCCGCAGGGCACCGCCGATTGCGCGTCCCGCTCCAGCGCTCAACTCTCGAGGCCTGGGCATGGAGACGCAGCCAGCAACAGAAGGAAGAAAAAGCTCAGCGGAAGCCGGGGGGCGGCGGGCAAGCAAATGCTCAGCAACAGAAGGAAGAAAAAGCTCAGCGGAAGCCGGGGGGCGGCGGGCAAGCAAATGCTGACCAACTGCCGGCAGCACCATGCACCTGCATTTACTATCCTCCTCCTCCTTCTTCTTCGCTCGCCTCCTCCTCCTCCTCCTCCTCCTCCTCCTCCTTCGTCTCCTCCTCCTCCTCCTCCTCCTCCTTCGTCTCCTCCTCCTTCGTCTCCTTCTTCTCCTCCTCCTCCTCCTCCTCCTCCTCCTCCTCCTCCTTCTCCTCCTCCTCCTTCCCCTGTCGCATCACAGGCGTGCCCGCAGGCCAGGCCCCGCGTTTCGCCAGAGGCTTCCCGACAATCCCACCAGCCCTCAGGGCATAAGTACGTGGTCTAACGGTGTTTTCTGTTCTCTTTCAGAACCCTCTTCCCTTCGGGAAGGGGTACTCTCCCCCTCCCCTCCCCACCTAACAGCGAAGACTGATAGGTTTCTAGTGGGCTCAATAGAGAACATCTTGACGCCCCAAGGGGGTCTGGGCGGGATCCGGACAGATCCGGACAAAAGGGTCAGCCCCAGAAATCCTGAGGAATCCTTAGGAATTCTTAGGAATCCTTACGAATCCATTCCCAGAACATCATTCCCAGGCCACACTTTGAATACCCGGAGCCAACTGTAGGCCACTTCGTGTTCTTCGTGTTCCCAGAACACCATTCTCAGGCCACATTTTGAATGCCCGGAGCCAACTGTAGGCCACTTCGTGTTCTTCGTGTTCCCAGAACACCATTCCTGTACCATATTTTGATTGCCCGGAGCTAACTGTGGGCCACTTCGTGATCTTCGTGTTCCCAGAACACCATCCTGTGCCATATTTTGAATGCCCGAGCTGAGGCAGGCTAAGGCCGAGGCAGGCTCAGGCCGAGGCAGGCTGAGGCTGAGGCTGAGGCACGCCGAGGCAGGCTGAGGCTGAGGCTGAGGCAGGCTGAGGCTGAGGCTGAGGCTGAGGCTGACGCAGGCTGAGGCCGAGGCAGGCTGAGGCTGAGGCTGAGGCTGAGCTGAGGCTGAGGCTGAGCAGAGGCTGAGGCTGTGGTGAGGCAAGCTTCGGCTGAGGCTGAGGCAGGCAGGCTGAGGCTGAGGCCGAGGCAAGCCGAGGCAGGCTGAGGCTGAGGCTGAGGCTGATGCTGAGGCAGGCTGAGGCTGAGACAGGCTGAGGCTGAGGCTGAGGCAGGCTGAGGCTGAGGCAGGCTGAGGCTGAGGCCGAGACAGGCTCAGGCCGAGACAGGCTGAGGCTGAGACTGAGGCTGAGGCTGAGGATGAGGCCGAGGCAGGCCGAAGCTGAGACAAGGTGAGGCTGAATGGGGGGGCGGGAAGGGGGGGGGGAGGAGGGGAGGCTGAGGCAGGCTGAGGCCGAGGCAGGCTGAGGCCGAGGCAGGCTGAGGCTGAGGCAAAGGCAAGCCGAGGCAGGCTGAGGCTGAGGCTGAGGCTGAGGCTGAGGCAGGCTGAGGCTGAGGCAGGCTGAGGCTGAGGCTGACGCAGGCTGAGGCCGAGGCAGGCTGAGGCTGAGGCTGAGGCAGGCTGAGGCTGAGGCTGAGGCGAGGCAGGCTGAGGCTGAGGCTGTGAGGCAAGCCGAGGCCGGCTGAGGCTGAGGCTGAAACTGAGGCAGGCTGAGGCATCCGTAGGAATCCATAGGAATCCTTAGGAATCCCCAGGAATCCTTAGGAATCCGTAGGCATCCTTAGGAATCCGTAGGCATAGTTAAGCATCCTCAGGAATCCTTCTGAATCCTTGGGATTCCCTAGGAATCCTTAGGAATCCCTAGGAATCCCTAGGAATCAGGATTCCTAAGGATTCCTAAGGTTTCCTATGGATTCCTATGGATTCCTAAGGATGCCCAAGGATGCCTTAGGAATCCCTAGGAATCCTTAGGATTCCATTGGATCCTAAGGCCGTTGCCACTGCGACTGTCATTGCGAATGCGACTGCGACTGCGAGAACATCAGAATTCTACAACTGGATTCTCACCTGAATCTTAAAAACAATGCTTCCAGATATGCTTATACACGTCGCTGTTAAATTGCTTTGCCGGTATAGTTTTTTAAGGTTCCGCGATGTGTCAGAGGGTCCGTCCTCGCTCGAGATGGCTCCAAGAGGGCCTCCGAAGCTCCAAGATGGCCTCAAAGAAGGCTCAAGATGGCCGACGATGGCTCAAAATGGCTGTCAACATGCTCCAAGACGGCCCCAAGTGCTCTCGGAGCCCCCTCAGGATCTCCACACGAAAACGGTGCGGTGACAAACCGTGCGGTGACCTCGAAATCCCCCAAGACCGCACCGCACGGTCCGTCACCGCGCGGTCTTGGGACCCCAGAGGCCCCTGTCGCCAGAGACGTCCTCGGAGACGGCCTCGAGTCCCAAAACCGTGCGGTGACCCCGAATCCCCACCGACTCACCACACGGTGTGTCACCACCCTGTTTGGGCCCCCCCACAGGAAGCCAACATCGCATAACAACCGGAGGGAAATCACCGAGTCTCGCCGTCTCGCCTTGTCGCTTTCGACTGGCTTCTGAGGCCTCAGGACGGCCTAAGAGAACCCCAAGAAGAGCTCAAGAGGCCCCCTAGACGGCGCCAAGAGCCCCAAGAGGGGCCCAAGATGGTCCCAAGAGGGGCCCAAGAGGCCTCGAGACGACCTAAGAGAGCCCCAAGAGGGGCCCAAGAGGCCCCCTAGACGGCGCCAAGAGCGCCCGAGAACGCCCCAAGTGGGCCTCCAAGAGGCGGCCCCGAAGGCTCTTGAGGGGGGAATCGAACTGGGGACCCCCGCCCTTTGATCGATGGCCTCCGAGACGGCCCGAAGAGCTCCTCCCGGGCTCCACGTCCTCTGCGCAGCAGCAAGATGCCACAGTACGGGCAGGCCAAAGTGTGACGTCGGGCGCGCCGCCGAGATGACGGCGGCGCCGGCACGTCCAGACGCGAGGCGGCCGCTGGGGCCGCCGGCCAGACTGGCGGCCTTGAGAAGCCAGCGGAAACAGGCAAGTGAAGGCGGGGGCCGCCCAAGACGGCCCCACGTTGGCCCCGAGGCCCCCCCACGAGAGCCCAAAGAGGGCCCCCAGGCTCCCCAACGAGGGCACCAAGATGATCCCCAAGAGGACGCCGAAAAGGCCTCCAGAAGACCCCTCGTCAAACAACACCCATCAACCGCACGGATGGATGGGGTGTTGGTTTTGAAAATGCGGTTTTCACCTCAGGGCCGCGCCCACACGCTGCCAACAACAATCAAACAACTACAAGGATTGATGCTGGCTCGTTTTTCAAAATGCGACGATCGCGTGAGACTTCCTCGAATTCTTCGACCCGAAGTTCCACATTGTGCAGCAGCTACACGGATGGAGGGCGGCTCCTTCTGAACGCGGGGGTCTCGTTTGAGGGTTCTGTGAAACCTGCGACCACGACTCTGCCACGACACGACGCCTACGCTGGCGGGCGGCCGATGCTTGTCGGAACGGGCTATCGCTGGGCCCGCCCTGGGACTTTATCATCCTAACTCCAAGCCGGGTGGAGAACCCCCAGCGCGACCCCCACCCCCTCCTCCTCCCTCCTCCTCCTCCTCCTCCTCCTCCTCCTCCTCTCTCCTCCTCCTCCTCCTCCTCCTCCTCCTCCTCCTCCTCCTCCTCCTCCTCCTCCTCCCTCCTCCTCCTCCTCCTCCTCTCTCCTCCTCCTCCTCCTCCTCCTCCTCCTCCTCCTCCTCCCTCCTCCCCCCTCCTCCTCCTCCTCCCTCCTCCTCCTCCTCCTCCTCCTCCTCCTCCTCCTCCTCCTCCTCCTCCTCCTCTCCTCTTCCGCCTCCTCTCCTCCTCCTCCTCCTCCTCCTCCTCGTCCTCCTCCTCCTGCTCTTTGGGGCGCTCTTGGATAGAGGAAGGAACAACCACAAGAACATAAACTGTCGACGCTCCGCGCGGACTTCTTGGATTTGTGCTGGGCCCCCCTCCCCGGCGCGCGAAGCGCGGCAGGGGCGGCGCCGGAGGCGCCGCAGGGGGGCCACAGCGCGGATCCCAGAAATCCGCGCGGAGCGCCAAAAGCTTATGTTTTATGGCGTTTTGTCTCCTTCGATTGGAGGCCTCTCGTCCCGCCTCGGGACGGTCATTTCTTGTTGCGAGGCAGGCGATCTCCAGTACAGACGTCAGCGAGCTATGTCGGGCGGGGGCCGAGGAGAGGGGCGAGGAAGACGAGGAACGCAGGACAGAGGACGGACGAGAGAGGAGGATGGCGCGGAGCTGCTCACCGAGCAGAAGAGGGGTGCAAGGTGCAGGCTTATCACACATGCAGATGAGCCCCCCACGGACTCCTTGGTCGTCGGCGCGACCAGAAGATCAGTCGTTGGCAGAGCGCAGTGACCCCGAATCAAATGTGGGTGTCTGTTCGCGTTGGCTCTGGGCGGCGTGCGCAGCCGAGGTGTGCTGCGGCCGCCTTGTGTGCGCGCGTGCGTCTGGCCCCATGATTCAGCTGTGAATCCTACTTTGCTCCGCCTTGGCCCGAAGGGAGGGGGTCCTGAAAGAGGCGGGTCCTGGGCCGGGGTCTTCCACTGGGACCGGCCCTTCATGGCGACCGGCGCGAGGCCTCACTCAAATGCCGTGGCCAGTCCTGATCGCCTTGGCGTTGCGGCAGTCGGGGTCCCGCCAGACCTCGCAGCCCGGCAGCTGCGCCCAGCGCTTCTCCAGCACGTCCAGCTCCTTATCAGGCGGCATCTGCGCCAGGACGTGGAGGGTCGTGCCCCTCGTCTCGTGGATGTACTGAAGGAGCGCCCAGCACATGCAGTCGTCCACCTCGCAGTCCATGAAGAACTTGTTCGGAACCCACAGGCCCTTCAAGTCTCCGGCCATGACCTTGCTGGTGAACTGGTCGATCTGCCTGGCGACGTCCAAGTCGCTGAGACCTTTAGCAGAAGCGCCAGACATGGCGAACACCAAGTTGACCACGTCCGTGAGCGCTCCGTTAGGGCCATACGCGGAGAAGGCCTTGCTGAGCCAACGATAAGCGTGCTGCTCAAACGTTACAGTCTCCCCGTCCTCCTTCACGAACTGCGCTGCCCTCAGCTCGTCGGAGGCCTCCTTTGCGAAGCCGAAGTTCTCGAGCAGGTGGTCGAAATGGAGCCTCGACTCCCACCCTGCTGGCACGTGCTCCAGGATAAACGCCTGCCAGGAGGCAACGTCGGGGACCGATTTGCTATCGAGCGCCTTGAACGCTTGCACAAACCTCTCAAGCTTGTCGATGGCGCCCGCGTTCTTGTCGGCGATCGCGGCGGTTTGTCGAGCGTACCTGATCATGTCGTGCACTTTCACCATCTTATCCTGGACGAAGGTGCTAAGCACGTAAGCTGGAATCACGACGCCGAGCTGTTTGGCAACGCGCAGAATCGCTTCATTCGAAAAGATACGCATGACCGAATTGGCGATGTTTGGCCCAAAAGTGGGAACATTGAACTGTTCTACGAACGCAGGCACATCCATCTTGTTCGCGTTGTTGAAAGGCGGCATGGAGGCCTTAATCTCCAGCTGGGCCTCGGAGTACTCATGAAGCCACGCATGCCGCCTGTCAGCGTGTCCCTTGGTAAGATGCCCACTCCAGAATACCTTCACGCCGTCATCCGTTTCGACAGCTTTGGCCGACCAACAGCTACTCATCTGCGCTGCCAGACCTACACCGGTGTCGATGCTCAGCCGACACGTCTTGAGCCAGAACGGCCACGGACCCGTCTCGGGACGATCTTGGGGGGCTCTTGGGACGTCGTGGAGAGCCGGGAGCTAGAAAAGTCGAGCGCCCCGAAAACAGTCTCACAAAAAAACGTATGGAAAATCAACGGCCTTTGCCTCTTGGAGCCTTCTGGGGAGGCGCTCGGCGAGCCAGCCCCTCTCGAGCAGTCTGGGGGCATCTTGGGACGGAAGCTCGAGGTGTTCTTTCGGGCTCCTGCTCGTGGGCCCCTCTTGGGGCCGTCTCGAGGCCCTCCCCTGGCCGTCTTGGGCCAAGAGGGCCGTCTTGGGACCCTCTTGGCCCGTCTTGGGACCCTCTTGGGGGCCTCCTGGGTCGTCTTGGGGCGGTCTTGGGAGCCTCCTGGGACGTCGTGGAGCGGCGGAGGCTCGGAAATCGAGGACCCCTGAAACATGAAAGCACCTAGAGAAAATACATTGTTTTTGCCGCTTGGGGCCCTCTGGGGAGCGCTCGTCGAGTTCTCTTGAGCCGCCTTGAAGCTATCTGGGGCTGCCCGGAAGCCCCGCGAGACATCTGGAAGCCTCCTGATATCTCTGTGACGCCACCCGAGGCCGTCTGGGCGGCCCTCGGGCCGCTGGCGAGTGTGCCCTGGGAGTCCGGCGCCCCCATGGCGATTCGGGGCAGCTGGGCGAAGGCCCCAACCCTGTACCCCGATAGATATATACATGCAGATGTACGTATGTGCATCTGTGTGCGCGCGGGCATACAGTATCGACGTCGGTGCTGTTCGCATGAGGTCTCGATTTTGGTGCTGTTCGCAAAGGCGAGAGGGAGGAACACGAGGGTGTGAGGGCTCCACCAGGGCCCCATGTCTGTCCAGAATCGAAGCGTTTCCCTGGGAAGCACACCGCAGGATCCCGAACATAATGAAAACCGCGCGGAATGTCGGACAGAGCCCATCTGTATAAATTTAAACTAGAACCATCGCAGGCGCTTCGCGGGCGCTCAAGTTCTAGCTAGGCTTGATAGGCTAACTCATGTAATCTCATGTTGATCGCTTCGTGCGTCCAGGGGTTCCCTTGGAGGTCCTGCGCAAACCTCGGAATCGTATAGAGGAGGAAGTACGGAAACGCAGAAATCATTCATGTCCTTTAGATATTCAAGGTCTGAATTGTGGTCTCTTGTGCAAGAGTTGACCAGGGGCCAAACTTGGAGAAAAAGAGGAATTGTGGGATTCCCATTTTTGTTCCAATTCCTCGGCGCTGTTCGGCGCGGTTTTTTGCTTGTGCCTCGCGGGTTTTGTTAGCGGGGCCCCTCAGGGGTGTGGGATCTTCCGGACCCCCTGGGGGTTCTGGAGGCCTCCTGGAGGCCTGGAGAGCCGTCGGAAGGGTGTCTCGGTCTGCGCGGGAGCGTGTTGGGCCGTTCTTTACGTTCTGGGGGCTCCTTGGGGTCGTCATGGGCTGTCCTTGGGCGTCTTGGGGGCTCCCTGGGAAGCCGGGAGGCGTGGTACCGGCCAGATGTCAGGGGATGTGTGGGATCTCCGAGTAGGAGTCCACTTTGAAAAAAAAAGGGAGGGCGCGGTACCGGGCGCCTCTTCGGTAATTTTGGGGGTTTCTTGGCCCGTCTTGGACCCGTCCTGGCAGTCTTTTGGGCGGTCTTGGGGCGGTCTTGGACCGTTGGAAGCTCGAAAACGCAAGAAAGCCCCCCCCCCCAAAAAAACATCAACATCTACGATTTTGACGTCTTCGGTCTTTCCCGGGACGCCTCTCTCTTGGGGCCTTCTGAAGGCCTCCTGGAGGCCTGGAGAGCAGTCGGAAGGGTGTCTCGGGCTGCGCGGGAGCGTGTCGGGCCGTCCTTTACGTTCTGGGGGCTCCTTGGGGTCGTCATGGGCTGTCCTTCGGCGTCTTGGGGTCTCCCCCTGGGAAGCCTGGAGGCGCGGTACCGGCCAGATGTCAGGGGATGTGTGGGATCTCCGAGTAGGAGTCCCACTTTGAAAAACAAAAATCTGGGAAGTCCTCATTCTTTTTCCCAACCCTCCTTGGTTGGGTATTCGTTTTGAATAGAGCACCGTGGTCGCGTCTTGCTCCTCCCGCCTCCCGCCTCCCTCTTGTCTCCTCTCGCCGTGTGGGTTGAGGCCCCGCGCAGACTTGAGCGAGACCTCTCCCTCCCTGGGTGGCTGCGATTTGTGAAACTGCCGCCAGTTTCGAGGGCTGCTGGCGAAGCCAGCAGATCCAACGTGGACCTTGCCATCTCTGGGGGGCTGCGATCTGTGAAACTGTCGCCACTTTCGAGGGCTGCTGGGGAGGCCAGCAGAGAGGGTACTCACCGCGGATCCAAACAAGACCTCGCCATCCCTGGGGGGCTGCGATTTGTGAAACTGTCGCCACTTTCGAGGGCTGCTGGGGAGGCCAGCAGAGAGGGTAATCACCGCGAAACTAAACAAAACCTCGCCATCCCTGGGGGGCTGCGACCTGTGAAACTGTCGCCGCTTTCGATGGGTTGCTGGGGAGGCCAGCATTGAGGGTACTCACCGCGGATCCAAACAGGACCTCGCCATCCCTGGGGGGCTGCGATCTGTGAAACTGTCGCCACTTTCGAGGCCTGCTGGGGAGGCCAGCAGAGAGGGCACTCACCGCGGATCCAAACAGGACCTCGCCATCCCTGGGGGGCTGCGATCTGTGAAGCTGTAGCCACTTTCGAGGCCTGCTGGGGAGGCCAGCAGAGAGAGGGCACTCACCGCGAAACTAAACAAGACCTCGCCATCCCTGGGGGGCTGCGACCTGTGAAACTGTCGCCACTTTCGAGGCCTGCTGGGGAGGCCAACAGAGAGGGCACTCATCGCGGATCCAAACAGGACCTCGCCATCCCTGGGGGGCTGCGATCTGTGAAACTGTCGCCACTTTCGAGGCCTGCTGGGGGGGCCGGCACAGTGACGCCACGGACATATTCAAACAGGACCTCGCCATCCCTGGGGGGGCTGCGATCTGTGAAGCTGTCGCCACTTTCGAGGCCTGCTGGGGGGCCCAGCACAGCGCGCGGACCCAAATTAGACCTCGCCATCCCTGGGGGGCTGCGATCTGTGAAACTGTCGCCACTTTCGAGGCCTGCTGGGGGGCCCAGCACAGTGACGCCACGCGCGGACCCAAATTAGACCTCGCCATCCCTGGGGGGCTGCGATCTGTGAAACTGTCGCCACTTTCGAGGCCTGCTGGGGGGCCCAGCACAGTGACGCCACGCGCGGACCCAAATTAGACCTCGCCTTCCCTGGGGGGCTGCGATCTGTGAAACTGTCGCCACTTTCGAGGCCTGCTGGGGAGCCCAGCACAGTGACGCCACGCGCGGACCCAAATTGGACCTCGCCATCCCTGCTGGGAAGCTGCGATCTGTGAAACTGTCGCCACTTTCGCGGTCTGCTGGGGGGTCCAGCACAGTGACGCCACACGCAGGTTCAAATTAGACCTTGCCATCCCTGGGGGGTTGCGATCTGTGAAACTGCCGCCACTTTCGAGGCCTGCTGGGGGGCCCAGCGCAATGAAGCCACACGCAAGCCCTCGATCACATCATCCTCGAACCGTTATTATTTCTGGGACCTCGCCGCAGACTCAAGTTAGACCTCGCCATCTCTCGGGGGCTGCGATATGAGATCCCCGCTTTCTAAGTGGCTAGGGGTGCTTTGGGAATGTAACTAATCAGCTTTATCTAGTCCTTGTCCTGTAGCCTGTGCCCTGCGAGTCTCCCGAATTCCGTCTGCAGACATATGTAACCCTCGCTCCGTCATCGCCCCCCTTTATAAAGTGTCCTAAACTATTTGCGCCCCGCGTTTGCGCAGAGGTTGGGTACGTCGCCAGGGTAATTTTCCCAACCCTCCTATGGTTGGGCACTCGATTTGAATAGAGCAGTGTGGTCGCCCCGTCCTCCTTCTCCTCCTCCCCTCTCCTCCCCTCCTCCTCTCCTGTTTCCTGTGTTCCCCTCTCCTCTTCTCTCGTGCCGCCGGGCTGCGATCTGCGCAAGTGTCGCCACTTTCGTGGGCTCCTGGGAGGCCCAGCGGAGGTACGTCCCACGCGGATCACCTCGGGACCTCGCGGTGCCCTGGGGGCTGCGATCTGCGCAAGTGTCGCCACTTTCGTGGGCTCCTGGGAGGCCCAGCGGAGGTACGTCCCACGCGGATCACCTCGGGACCTCGCGGTGCCCTGGTGGCTGCGATCTGCGCAACTGTCGCCACTTTCGTGGGCTCCTGGGAGGCCCAGCGGAGGTACGTCCCACGCGGATCACCTCGGGACCTCGCGGCGCCCCTGGGGGGCTGCGATCTGCGCAACTGTCGCCACTTTCGTGGGCTCCTGGGAGGCCCAGCGGAGTACGTCCCACGCGGATCACCTCGGGACCTCGCGGTGCCCTGGGGGCTGCGATCTGCGCAACTGTCGCCACTTTCGTGGGCTCCTGGGAGGCCCAGCGGAGGTACGTCCCACGCGGATCACCTCGGGACCTCGCGGCGCCCTGGGGGCTGCGATCTGCGCAACTGTCGCCACTTTCGTGGGCTCCTGGGAGGCCCAGCGGAGGTGGGTCCCACGCGGATCACCTCGGGACCTCGCGGCCCCTGGGGGGCTTGCGATCTGCGCAACTGTCGCCACTTTCGTGGGCTCCTGGGAGGCCCAGCGGAGGTACGTCCCACGCGGATCACCTCGGGACCTCGCGGCGCCCTGGGGGGCTGCGATCTGCGCAACAGTCGCCACTTTCGTGGGCTCCTGGGAGGCTCAGCGGAGGTACGTCCCACGCGGATCACCTCGGGACCTCGCGGCGCCCTGGGGGGCTGCGATCTGCGCAACTGTCGCCACTTTCGTGGGCTCCTGGGAGGCCCAGCAGAGGTACGTCCCACGCGGATCACCTCGGGACCTCGCGGTGCCCTGGGGGCTGCGATCTGCGCAACTGTCGCCACTTTCGTGGGCTCCTGGGAGGCCCAGCGGAGGTACGTCCCACGCGGATCACCTCGGGACCTCGCGGTGCCCTGGGGGCTGCGATCTGCGCAACTGTCGCCACTTTCGTGGGCTCCTGGGAGGCCCAGCGGAGGTACGTCCCACGCGGATCACCTCGGGACCTCGCCGCCCCCTGGGGGGCTT